AAAAATTGCTCGATCCTTCGACGCTGCTGCGGCGTGGCGTGTCTCTGTAATCTGTGGGATTTTCATATCCTGATGGAGTTACGACGTGGCAGGTTCAAGTTTTCAGGGAAAGAAAATGTTATGTTTTGTATTTATTGACTGACTGACTCGGAAATTATGGTGCACTGTAATTGCCTCCCACCTCCCCTGCTGCACTCGGCCATATTGGTGGACTGCCAGGTGTAGCAAATTTAATTTCGGAAAGGTTGAGTCTGAGAGCGTTTAGAACACAGATTGCCAAAAGGAGCTGCGTCCAAAATATCCGAACGTCGGACCGAAGATGGTCCGTTGGCCTCGTCAGTCCTCCGGTGGAGGCGGTCAAAACGCTGGACGCGTTTTGAGCTCCAGAGTCGCTAAATAGGACTCGAACCGAACTTGTGACCCCACCAATGGATTGCTCTCCGAACGAGGAATCCATTGATGGAGTCACACGTTCGGTTCGAGTCCCATTTAGCGACTCTGGAGCTCAAAAGGCGACTAGAGTCGGCCTCCTCCACCGGTCTTCTGGCCCACTGTGCGCGGTGGGCGTTGAGGTGAGAGTGAGAGTGCCGCTGATAGGCCGGCAAAAGCGGCAAAGTCTGGCTGAAGGACGCGGTGTATCGGCCCTCGCAGTGCGCGGGCGATTCCGCTCTGTACTTCATCGCCGTCTCTCTCCGTCTCTCTCGCACCCCTGCGGCCTGCGGCACGCCACGTGAGTGCGACACAGACGGGGCGATTGGTCTTCGGAAACAGCCTGCAGGCCCCACGGTGCCGCGTGCCGCACCTCTGACGTTATCATCTGTCCAAACACCGCGAGCCGGGCCGGCGACAGTCTAGGGCTCTGCAGGCTGATTACGAAAGTGGTTTTCGTGGCTCCGTCTCTCTCGCACCTGTATGCGATGCCTTTGAGTGCGAAAGAGACAGCGATGAACGATGAAAACGACTCAGCCTGCAGGGCCTGGGGCCTCGAGGGCCGCGGGGGCGGAGCAGCAGCACGGCCAGCATGGCCAGCTCCTGCAATTAGGCGCAATGAAGCCGAAACGGCCGCCCTGCAGACGCAATGCGTGGACGACGCGGCGCTCTGGCGGACGAGGACGACGTGTGCTTGGGGGACGAGACGACGCGGTGCTTTGGGGGTCGACGACGACGTGGTGCTCTGGTGGACGACGACGCGTTGCTCGCTCTGGGGGACGACGACGCGGTGCTCTGGTGGCCGACGACGACGACGCGGTGCTCTGGTGGTCCTGGTGCCGCTGTCTTGGTTGTCGCGGTGCCTGGCGGACGACGCGCGTTGGGCGCGCGCTACAGGGTGGTGGCACGCTGCCTGCTGGGCCACGCCGAGCCCCGCCCCGCCGCGGCCCTGACCATGACAGCGGCGAAGACGGCGGCTGGCTGGCGCCGGCGGGGTGGGCGGGCGGCCACCCGGGGACCTGGCACTGGGCACAGCCGTGGCCACGCCGGGGCGCACCCCCAAACACACACTCACTCACGTCATCAGCACACACCGGCCTGGCCGAGCCGAGCCGGGCGCGCGGTCTTTCTGTCACGTCTGACGTAACAAGAGCCGTGACTTGGGCGCGCGGCCGTGACCCTCTCGGGGTTTGAGCCAGGCGGCCGGTCGCTCTGTCTCCCTCGCACCCCCTGCGGTCTGCAGGACGCCCGGCGTGACGCCCCACGAGTGCGAGAGAGACGGAGCGACGAAAGCGCTGCTCAGCCCGCCGAGGACGCGCGCGCGTGACACAGTTCTCGCGAGAACGCGTAATGCGATAACATCGCGCGAATGTCTTTTGAATTGACGCTCTCCAGCTGGTGGCGTTGTTGTTGTTGCTCCTAGGCGGGCAGTGGGCGTGGCGGGGCGCGGCGGCGCAGGCAGCCAGGAAGTGGGGGGAGGGGGGGGGGGCGCTAGGAAGGAAGTGAGGAAGGACTTACTCCGACGGACTGACCGGAGTTTGGGTGGACGACGACTGGGGAGCAGGGTGCTTGCGAAGCGTCTAGGACAGTTGCAGTGCAAGGGAAACGCTGCCGTGATTTTGGCCAATCACTTAAGCGGTGCTCGAGCAAACTGACTGCTGCAACGTCGAGCCAAAATGCGATTCCTGCGAAGAAACTGCGCCTAATTTTCACAGTGATCCAGTCCCCAGCCAATCCGGCGCGGTGCCGGGCCGTGCCGGGCCGTGCCGGGTCCTGCCCCATCTCATCTCATCTGGTCTCAACTGGACCAAACACACAACGCCCCCGCACGAGTCCCGGGGCCGCGTCGCCGCACCGCCGCGCCGCGCCATGCCGCGCCACGGTCGGCGCCCTCGCGTCCCCGCTTGACCGCCACATCCTCTCGCCTCCTCGGCATTTCAAAATTCACGCTTTTTCTTCGCAGTGTGGTTACTCCGCGCGGTTCCTCAAGGGATGGGCGAGTCCCTCCTGCCCGGGGCCCTGCCCTTGCCTGCTCATTGGACCGCGCGGTGCCGCGCCGTGCCGCGCCGTGCTCCCACTCCCCGTGTTGGCGTGGTTGCACAAAGCATGTATTGTCTTACAGGCGCCATGCGTCACGGGGCGGCAGTGGCGTGGCCGTGCCGCGGCAGTGACAGTGTTACAGTGTGGGGCGCCACGCCCTCGCCACGGCGCTACTCCGCGCCGCCGTGCCGCTGCACTGCATGGGGTATCGACGGGGCACGCCGTGGGACTGCCGGACCGATGATCGAGCAGATCGTACGCGCTGTCTCTCTCGCACTCGTGGGGCGTCCTTTCGTGGTGCGAGGTAGAGAGAGCGACAGGGACTCAGAGCGAGAAAACGGTGTGCGGAATAAGCCTGCAGCAGTGGCAAAAAAAGAAAGGTCTTCTTGAATTGATTGATGCCCACTTTTTACCACCCAACCTCCTTCCGCTCTTCCTCCTTCCCCTCCTTCCCTCCTCTCCCCCTCTTCTTCCCCTCTCTTCCTCCCCTCTCTTCGTCCCCCCTCTTCTTCCCCACCCCTCCCCCTCGCCCTGCCCCCTCTCGGTGTGCGGTACTGCCGCTACTCACAACACGCGGACAGCGCTCTTTTAGCGCCAATTGGCGCCCCGGGCGAGCGATTCAGAGGAGTCGTCTCTGTCGCACTCGTGGGGCCCTGCGTGGGGCCCTCCGTGGGGCCCTCCGTGGGGCCCTCCGTGGGGCCCTCCGTGGGGCCCTCCGTGGGGCCCTGCGTGGGGCCCTCCGTGGGGCCCTGCGTGGGGCCCTCCGTGGGGCCCTCCGTGGGGCCCTCCGTGGGGCCCTCCGTGGGGCCCTCCGTGGGGCCCTCCGTGGGGCCCTCCGTGGGGCCCTCCGTGGGGCCCTCCCTGAGGGTGCGAGGGAGACGGATGGCTGGCGGTCGGCCACTTGGTGTAGGTGCTAATCGCGCGGGGACAAATCCGAGTGCTGTATTTGCGTGTCCGTGCATGTTTGTGCACGCCACACTGCCAACAGTGCCGCGAACGTAAAGTCGTGTACTTTCGGTTTTTGATCATACGTTGGGGAAATCCAATGTGGCCATTGGCTAATACGGACACCGCCGAGATTGTTTTTTGGTAAGCGGGCGTTATTGAAGGGGTCACACAGTACTGGGTCAGAAGACCGGTGGAGGCGGTCAAAATTCTGGACGCGTTTTGAGTTCCAGAGTGGCTAAACAGGACTCGAACCGAACGTGTGAACCCACGAATGGATTGCTCTCCGAACGAGGAATACCTTGGTGGGGTCACACGTTCGGTTTAAAACCCTACCCTGTTTAGGGACGCTAGAGCTCAACACGCGTCCGGAATCTTGCCCACCTCCACCGGTCTTCTGACCCGCACTGTGGGGCGCTGAATAGGTACAAGGTGCATTTTTTTTCTTCACATCTGTAGTGTACCAATAGACGACGGGACCGTCAAGCATAGCGTCGTTCGTCGCCACGCTTGGCTGCCTGCTCGGCTGCCTGCTCGACTGCCTGCCTGCGCGGCTGTCCGGCTCCCTGGCTGCCAGCTCGGTCGGCTCGGCGCACGCTTGTCCGTGCGCGCTCTTTATCGTGTTGTCACACTCCTCGGAGGGATTTGATTGATTGGCCCTCAAAGACGAAAGGCTTTTGAAAGGCCTTGACTGAGGCTTCCGGCCGGCAGGCTGCGACGCACGGTGGGCCAGAAGACCGGCGCAGGCGGCCAAAACTCTAGACGCGTTTTGAGCTCCAGAGTCGCTGAACAGGACTAGAACCAAACGTGTGACCCCATCAACGGACTCCTCGTTAGGAGAGAAATCCTTTGGTGGGGTCACACGTTCGGTTCGAGTCCCATTTAGCGAGTCTGGAGTTAAAAACGCGTCTAGAATTTTGGCCGCCTCCACTGGTCTTCTGGCCTACTGTGCGCTGGGTTGCGATGCCTGCGTATCAGGCATTGCCTTTACGGAGGCTAGACAAGCCCCACCGAGGCCCCTACGGCATACGATCATGTGTGGTCTTGCCCGTAATGGTAATGGTAATGGTAATGCGGAGTAGGCAAAGCGGCTGATGCGAGACACGCGTGTGGAGCCGGTTGCCTACCCTGTCCGTCGCAGGCGTTCGCGGCATTGTCGACCGCTTTGCCTCATGGAGTAGTCGAAAATTCTCAACGTTCAAAGCGTTGTGAACCAAAGCCTGCCTGGGAAAAAGCCCGAGAGCAATGCTCCTGGTGCAACTTGAACTTGAGAGGCTGGACCACAAATAATGATGTGCCATTGGCTTTGTGGGAATGTTTGCCTGCTCGTGTGTGTTCTCACTGCCGGGAGGAAGAGTGACGTAGTTTCTGTTCGGAATGCCTCTTTCTTTCTCTTTTCGCAGCCCACCCCGTCAAATTTAGTCTCGAAGGCCCCTGCGAGGGTAGGCAATATCCGAGCAACAAGACACGTATGTGCGGCGGGTTGCCTACCCCGGCACTTGCAGGCGGCAGCGCGCTGCGTGGTGCGGCTGGTGCGGCTGTTGCGAGCTCGTGGACTAATTTGACACCGGTTTTGCTTGTTGCAGGTGTGCCAGAATGGACTGGACGCCATGACCTACCTCGTGGACCGCATGGGCGGCGACTTCAGGCCATATTTACAGACTGTTTTACCTCCAATCATCGATAGACTAGGTAAGTGTTGCATTTTGTTTAGGGAGGAAAAGAGGGGGGGGGGTGGAATAAAAATTGGTTAGGGTTAGATTTGACATTTTAGAAACTCACTCTTTACGAGATGTTATTTTTATTATAAATACATCACAATTGCTGTGGCATGAGGCCTAAATTGTCAAACCTGATCAAGAAAGCGCTGTCGCAATTTTATCCCGTGTCCCAAAACTACCCCATCTGACCCTAAATTTTCTAAACAACTCTTTCGTGCTGTTTTGAAAATAATAAATACGAAAACTTGTTTACTCGTTGAAAGGGGTACTGGCACGGAGTGTCTGTGGGAATGGTTCCGATTCGGGGAGATCTAGTCCCTGATAAGATAAGGTGGGAAAGAAGGGTGGCTCACCTTGCCTGAGTGAAAATGGACGCTCGGCATGCGATCTTTTCTGGGGTTGCGGAACCTTGAAAATGAAGCGAGGAAACTAATTGTTGTCTCTTTCTGTTTTTTTTTTTTCAGGCGACAGCAAGGACATGGTCCGCAGCAAAGCTCAACTTCTTTTAATGAAAATTTTAGAAAGGGATGTGGTTTCCGCCCAGCAACTGTTTGATAAGCTCACGCCCGCCTTCGCGCACAAGAACGGGAGGATCCGGGAAGAAGTGCTGACGACACTTGTCACTACCATCAATGAGTACGTACCCTGCTTCGCATAATTTCGAATATGGCTTTTTTTTTGCAAGATTAAATTTGATTCGGGATAAACCGACGTCATTGCAATGATTTCTCTAAAAGAATAAAAAAAAAACACTTGGAAACACTTTTATTACGGTGGACGTGTCGCATATCATTGCAGTAAAGCGATACGTAACTTTTCTAATCGGCAGCTGCCTGGCGGCGGTCATCGCAGCGTAACCTCTCAACCATCGTAAAATTTTCAATAAAAAAAAAATTCACTGCGCCTCCGGATGAGATAAATCGTGCGCAATCACAAACTCGTTATCGTACGATTCGCTGTCGTGGTTCTCACGGAGGAACGAGTGACACTGTCTGCTTCCGGCTGCTGTCATTTTTGTTATTGTTTTTGTGACCGTTTTTGTTCTAGATTTTGTTGTTGTTTTTGATTCAGGCACGGCATCCAGTCCCTGCTCGTGTCGCGGCTCATCCCCGCCATCGTCAAGTCCCTGAGCGACCCCATGGCGACGGTGCGCGACGCCGCCTTCAACGCCCTGGTGGACATCTACCGCCACGTCGGGGAGCGGCTGCGGCAGGACCTCAACAAGAAGCACCCGGTGCCGCCCTCCAAGTAAGCACACTCTAACTTTACTACTCCAAAAAGCCAAAGCGTGCCAACTGACTTTTTTTTTGTTGCTGTTTTTCAATTTAATAAAATAAATTTTGTTAACGCCAAGAGATGTGCTTAGGATGACTTAAATTTAAAATTCAATTTTGAATTAAAGTTGTCATAGGCATAGAACTCTTTTGTCTGTAAACATTTACGAGATGTGGGCTCCTAAAAGTCTCAATAAAAGCTAAGTTTGTGCGCCTCACGGAAACCTCTCTCACTGGTTCCATTTATGGTTCCATTCTGGCCTTCAGAAGAAAAACAGACAAAACCGTTGACAAGGCTCAAACCTCACAGTAAATTTACATTTTATTTTAGTGTATTATTTATGACTCAAGAAAAATAGTTCTGTGTGTATTTCCTTTCATGAAGTGTTCCTCAAAGACTTATTTTGACTACACTTTTTTTAAAACAACTGTTTTGTTGTATTTGGTCTTTATCATCGTACTATAATCTTATCTGTTATTTCACTATCCTTCGAAGAAACGCAGGATGAAATGAAGTTATTTTCGTAAGCAAATGGCTCTCGAGAAAAAAAAATTATATGTAGGAATTGCGTTTAGCAGTTGACCCCTTTTTTATGGGAAAACTCTAATTAAAAGCAGGTTAAGGATCATTGGTTAATAGTTGTAAAATTAGTGTTAAAAAGTACTTCATTAAATTTTTTTCCGCATCTTTCATCAGGCTGCCTGCCCTCATGTCCCGGTTCGACGAGGTTCGCGAGGAAGGTGGTCTTCTTCCCTCTGCACTCTCTGGCGATGGTGAGTCTGAGTTTCGTTTCCCCCACCTGCCGGAATGGGTTCGCCCCAGTCTCAAGTCGGCCAGAGGACCAGCGCCGGTGGCCAAAATTCTAGACATGTTTTGAGCTCCAGAGTCGCTAAATGGGACTGAAACCAAACGTGACCCCACCAATCGATTCCTCGTTTGGAGAGCAATTTATTGGTGGGGTCACACGTTTGGCTCTAGTCCCCGCGTCCGGCATTTTGACCGCCGCCACCGGTCCCCTAGCGCACTGTGTAGTCGGCCCCAGTCGGGAATGTGTTATTCGGCATCCGGAATTGGAATTGGCGTTGGTGCGTTATCAGCTGCCACCTTGCTTGCCACCTTGGCTGGGGGTTCCAGCCCGGGGTGATTGGCACCTCCCACGGCGCTGCTCGCATAGTTGCGGTGTGGCGGCGCGGAAAACCCGATAAAAATGTCAAGATAAACGAAACGGCCGACGGCAAACGGCAGTCGAGCCCCACTTTACAGCTTCTGTACCGCCCGGCGGATTTCGTCGTCTGCCCGAGTCCACTGGAGTGAAAACAAAACGCCAAACAAACTGAAATCCGGACAAAAATTTAGTCAAAAAACTGAAAGTAATAATTTTGGTCGATTTGTCGCAGTATTTTTCTACAGTGTTCGAGTCATTCGCGGGAATGATCTCCAGGCTTTATACTTTTCGTTCTGTTTTCTTTTTCTCTGGTCTTCTGGCACGGTCGTGCATTTGACGAGTGCCTGGTGGCGGTGTGGTTGCCGGTCGTGATGGGATGGCCGTGTCGTGAGGTGAGGTGAGGTGAGGTGTCGGTCGCGCCACCAGAAGCGACACTCACCCGGTTTAATTTCTGCCCGCGCGAGTCGAGTCGAGTCGCCCGTCTCGTTTCGTTCTTCTGTTTTTTGGCGCTGTGGCGAGACTCCGCGTCGACGCAGGACGTAGCCGCCGCGGCTGGCGATACTCCTCGCCGCGGCCGCGGCGCTACCCCGCTCTGGGCCGCGGTCGCGCTGCAGTTCTCGCGGGTGGGTGGAGTACCGTGCAACGTGCAAATCCAAGTGTGGCGGTGGGGCAGTGCACACTGTTTGGCGTGAACCAAAATGTCTCACACCTGGAAGCGTGAGACGCGGTCTGTCCCACACCTTTTGTCTAGGCTGCTGTCTCTGTCTCTCTCGCACTCACGGGGCGTCCCCTACAGGTGCGAGAGACAGAGCGGGGCGGCTGGGACGGTGTGTGACGTCCGTCATCAGCCGCTCTATTTTCGAGTGACGGGACGGACGTCGACTTCATCCTCCGCCGCGGCTCGGCGAGCACATTTTGGCCCTTTTCTTGGCGAGGTCTCGACATGTCGCAATGGCGAGACTGCCCTTCGAGGCGCGCGGACTCCGACGACGTCCCGACGTTCCAATCCTGATAGGTGGGCAGCAAATTGCCACACATTCAGCCTAGCAGACCCCCTATAAATTTTTTGCACACCCTACGCACTTGCCTGGACCTCATGATATGGTCCGCTGTAGCTTACTAGACAAACTGGACACTGCCTGCACTTGAGGTTTGCAGTCTCAGTCCTACGTTTGCTGTAGACGCTTACTCGAACGCCAAGGGTCTGTTGAGACCTGACAGCGCTGATAATCAATCATGATGATGCGTTCCCTCTCGTGCACATGGTTCGGCCGATTTTTCGTGCTTTTGAAGAGGAACCGAGTGAACTACCAAAACTCTTACAATGATGTTTTCGCCTGTTCGGCGTGTTCCTTCGCCAAGTTTTGGTCAGTCTGCGGGTTGCCGCCGGGTTGCCGCCGGGTTGCGCTAGGTCCTGCCCGAGTCCCGACGTGATGTCACCGCCGCGGCCTTGGCCGGCCTTGGCTGCTCCGCGTCTTTTACTGCCGCGTCGTTATCTCTCTCTCGCTCTTTGCCGCGCCGCCATTCGGCCTTACGTCTCGTCTCGTGCGGTTCCCCAAACCCGACTGACGTGGCTTTTAATCGCACTACCGGTACCCGCACGACTGTGTGTGTGTGTGTGCGTGTGTGTACGTACGTGCACCTCGCCGAGAGAGGGGGCGGGGACAAGGTTTGTTGGTTCGTCTCGGCTGCGCCTGCGGCAGACCGATTCCGAGAGTCCCTTCTCGTCGCTCTGTCTCTCTCGCACCCTGTCCGGGACGCCTCCCCCGAGAGTGCGAGAGAGACAAGAGCGACGCGAAGGAGTCTCGGAATCGGTCGGCTGGCTTGGCGCTTGGCGTTTGGCGCTTGGCTTGCGCCGCAACGCGCCGCACGCATGGTAAACAGACCAGAGGTGGTGCATCCGCATCGTCCGCATGCGGAGGCCTGGAGACGCCTGGAGGGTGACGGCCTCCTCCTTCATCCGCGGCTTGGCGCGGCTTGGCGGCGAGGTGAGGATGATTGTCATCTCAGGCACCGCCGCCGCCGTTGTTGGCGGTGCTGGCGGTTGCTGTTGTTGCTGGCGGCCTCCAAGCGTCCGCACGGAGGACACCGCCTTCTCCCGCTAGGGTAACCCGGCCTGCACTGCACGCCGTGGGCTTTCTTGTTCTCCGCGGCTTCCACCCCCGAGCCTCCCGCCGGCGCCGCCGGCCGGCCCGGCCGCCCAGCCCGATTCCCACCCCGCCACCCTGATTCCCACCCCCGCCGCCGTAACCCTCCGTCGGCGTGTGTAGTAAACACGCTGCACGCTGCGTGACTGCGACGCCGTGGCTGCAGCGCCGCGGTACGAGCCGAGTCGACGGCCGCGGAGCGCAGCCGCGCCACGCCCGGCCGCGCGTGGAGGCGGAGTCGAGCCGGGCCGGGCCGGGCCGCGGCAACACTCAGCTGATCGTGCCGGCGCTGGCGGCCTCGGCTGGGCTGGCGTTCCCCCGCGCGTCGCTCCGCGCTCCTCGCTCCGCCCCGAGCTCGCCGACGGCGGCCTCGCCGGCGCGGCACTGACGCCCCGGCCGGCCTCGCAGTATCGCCCCGCGCACCGCCACAAGCGCGCCGCGCCGCGCCGCGCCTGCCGGTCCAGGACGCCGCCGCGCCGCCAGCACCACCGCGACGACGCGCACGTCGGCGTCGACGTCGACGGGCAGCGCGGCCGCCCCTCCGCGCGCGCCTGTGCGTTTCGGAATGAGCGTTTCCGGCGCGCCGCGTGAATGTGAATGTGTATGTGTTTGTGGACGTGAATGTGTGTCCCGCAGTGTGTGCTCGTGCTAGGAAAGCCCCGGCCCCGCGCACGGTGGTGGCCGGGGGCTTCGTCGCCGAGCTCACGATCCTACCCCGTGTCCGTGGTGGTGTGTTGCACTGAGAGTGTCCGGCAGCTGGCCGCGCCCTGGAGATGATGATGACTGCAGTCGAGATCAGTGCGCTAGCCGGCTGGAATTTCGTGCCGTTGGCTCTTTACCGTAGCAGGTGTCTGCAGGTTGCGTCCGACACAGGATCCAGATGGATTTTTGATCGATGGGACATTTTTCTTTGTATTTCTGTTGCTGGGTACAGGCAGCTTCAAATGAGCTCAGCGCTAGCTGTACTTGTACACTGGGAAGGCTGTAGGGAGCTGGAAGCAGGCGTAGCGTTTTTGGACTGCGGCAGGGACAGTGTTTCCAATGTCTGCGATTTTGCGGTGGTTTGGATTGACCGAAGGGACAGGCCAAGCTGGACTTGGGCTGTAGTACACTGATTCCGAGAGTCGTTTTCGACGTCCAGTCTCTCTCGTAGTACGGGCCGCAAGAGACAGACAGAGCGACGAAAGCAGTGTGTCTGCCTGCTTGCCTTACGCAGTCCGAGCTGCGCCGCGCGGTGCGTGTTCTGAATGACGGGCTGGAAGGACCGACGGACCGATTCAGAGATTCATTTTCGTCGCTCTGTCTCTCTCGCACTCATGGGGCGTCCCCTTTAGGTGCGAGAGAGAGGAGAGAGGGAGCGACGAAAACGCCTCTCGGAATCAGTCTGCGGCACGCGAACGCCAAGCAAAGCGAGGCGAAGCGAAGCGCGAGGCCCGTTCGGGTGGTCCGGCCGCGCACCTCGCTCTGCCTCTCTCGCACCCCTAGGGACCCTACGGGACGCCCCACGAGCGCGAAGCCGCCGTGTTCGGAGGCAGGCCAAGGCAGGCCGCATAACGCCTCCTGCGCTCTTTTTAAAGTATTCCACCGCCATGACGTAGTTGGATTTGTTGTTTCTCTTTTTTGGCGCGCGTGGCGCGGCCTCCGAAAAAAAGTGTAGCAGAGATGATAGAAAGCCTCGCTTGCCGCGGGATGGTCGCGCGCGTTATCTAGCTATCAGGACTCAAGTCTGATGCCACGCGGTGTAGCTCCGTCTCTCTCGCACCCCGAAAGTGCGCCATGGGCGCGAGAGAGGCGGGGCGACGTTCTGCTAGGACTTCTAGGCCGGCTGCGCGACGACGCGCTTCGCAAATGAGTGACACTCGCGAAGCGAGGGACACCACGACCAGGACGGACACTCTCTGGAAGATTTCTCCTGCGGTCTGGAGACTGGGGTCTGGAGTCGGATTGTGAGCTCGCGTCGAAGTTTCCGCAGTCGGGCTGGAGGCGATCCGTGCCGACTTGCAGCAGGATGTGGTCGGGATGTGTCTAGCTAGTGACCGCCGCCACACAGTGGGCTAGAGAAGCCCGGTGGAGGCGGTCAAAATCCCGGACGCGTTTTGAGCTGCAGAGTCTCTAAATGGGACTCGAACCGCGAATGTGTGACCCCACCAGTGGATTCCTCGTTCGGGGAGCAATCCATTGGTGGGGCCACAGACATGGTTCGAGTCCTGTTTAGTGACTCTGGATCTCAAAACGCGTCCACAGTTTTGGCCGCCGGCGCCGGTCTTCTGGCTCACTGTGCGCCACCGCTGACATGGCGTGCACGTCGCGCCGCCCGGCGCCCCAGGACGCCGAGGACGCCGGCGGGCTGCTGGAGCGCGCCCTGGACTCGCCGCCGCTGACGAGCGAGGCGGACTGCCCCGTGTCGAGCATGGCCAGCATGGCCAGCATGGTGTGGTCGTCGTCGGCGTCCGAAGAGCCG